GGGGGGGAGTAGCTGTTGAAACATTTAGGTTATCAAACAGTATTCCAAGCTTTGAATATCTCACAAAGCACCATTTAGTACATCATCTGAGAAATGAATAAAGCCCAACCACAAATCTACAACGTATAAATGGCAAGCTGGGCAGAGAGAGCAGCAATCTGTGGCTTATGCTTACTCTGGAGGAGCTGCAGTGATGGAACTTCTTCAGAAGACATCTATCATTCAAAGATCTGGCAAGAGGAGTGAGTGCCATTGTTAAAGGAAAGCCATAGGAAATCAATCCGAGCTGTGGGTAGGAGAACAAATTGAACTATGTTGCCTACCTGCAAAACTCAAAGAGCTGCTGAAAATTAAAAGTGCTCAGTACAATCCTGCTTTTCTTCACTGACCACAGTGACCCAGTCAGAGTCAATGGACAGAAATATGGAGCTAAATCCAAATAAACCCTAGAAGGAAAACCTGCTGGAGGCTGTAAAAAAGTGTGAGACCAGGGCAGGGGTTGAACTTCCAACAGAACAATGAAAATAAACATCCAGTCAGAACTTTAATGAAAGGGTGTGGATCAAAATCTATGCATGACTTATGCCTCTATTGTCTTCTGCCAATTTCAAGGTTGTATTCAGCAGAGCGTTTCCACCACCAGTTGCTCTCTTGCTGCAGGCGGGGTAAAACCCAAACGCCTAAAGTGACGTCATGTGACGACGAACCTGATGCACTAGTATGTCTCATGTTTGCCGTAAGCAGTGACATTTTTCTGTCCTCCAGTCAGTGGACTGTGTTGTGTGACGCCAGTCCCTCCACCTTAACCATACCATTGACCTAAGGATCTACAACTGAAGGAGGTCCAGGTATAAGTTGGGTGTATGGACCACTTTCACAATGGAAACAGACAACGTAGTGTACCGAACCGCACCGACCCGTGCTCAGAGGAAATAAGGCTTTAGAGTTCCACAATCAAAGTGCAGATTTTAATTCAATTAAGGTTCTTTGGGAAAACTTCAAAAAATGTGTTCACTGAAGTTATCCATCCAATCTTACTAATAAAAAAAAGTCTCCCTAATATCATAAGCAACCAGGTGTGCCAATTCTCCATTGTCTGCATGTGAATATGAGAAGCAAAAAACATGTTCAAGGGCTAATGGAAAAGTCAGTTATATATCTGTTCTCTGTGCACCCCTTTCTGATGCCACCCTGGGCAACTGCCCTTATGGGTTTTATATATATAAACTTTTTCATTATAAAAAAAAAATCTGAAAAGTGTTTATTATTAGAATAAGATAGTATCAGTGATCATTTCGGAATTACAAAGGACCTTCCCATCACTTTAGCTATCTCTAAAAACAGCTTGGGCAGGATTTTATTTCTTCTTCGTATTCCGCGGCTGTTGTGACTCCGTTTCTGTCTGAACATATCTCCAACATGTCAGGACGTATTCCAGCGCTCCACCTGCGCGCAGAGTGCTGCTCAGCAGGGCTGTAATGTCTCTTTAAAAGGCTGATCCCCCATGCGCAAGATCCAGGGGCTGGTCCTTGATCGACTTGCATGCGTGTGTGTGAGCGTATGTAAAAGTGTGTCTGCGTGCGTGTGTGTGTATGTGTGTAAGGCTGCGTGAAGAGCAAATCGAGATACAGTAGTAACCCAGAGTGAGGTGGCAGTCTTAGTCCACATCGACTTGTCCATGCACACATCTTTATCTGAGTCCATATCTGTTCGGAGTGGACGAGAAGCGGTTCGGCATGGCTTCAGAACGTGGCTGTGGACAATCTGGGATCTGATCGGGTCTGTTCTTTGTGTGGAGAGTGGCTGCGCAAGGTAATTCATGTAAGGTGTTTGAAGGGGGATTATTACCCAGAATATATGTCTGCACTTGATCGCCTGTAGGTCGATTCAGAAATAGCGGCGGTCTTGGAAGACTTGCAGCAGTAAATCTGTCGGCGATCTGACAACATTTAAACCCTGTTGGTTATTTCTAAGAGGGCGTTTATTTGTTGATCAGAATCTTTAGAAGTTTTTTTTTTTTTTTCTTCGATCTGACCACTAATCTGAGTCTGTTTCTTCATACCTTCAACAGGCGTTCATTTCTGAGTGTATTTCTTCTCTGCTGGGACTTCGCTGGGGTTGAATAGCAACAAAGGACGGGAGCGCGCATTCATGGGACGCGACTTTGACAGCTCTCCGTCTGTTCTCGTATAACTTTATCAGCAGTCAGCAAGGGGCCAGATTGTGTCTGGAGCTGGAGATAATGGCCGAGGCTCCGCTCCCCGACACGCTCCCGGACTTGGACGTGGTCATTGACCCGGACTTTGAGCCCCAGAAGCGGCCCCGGTCTTGCACCTGGCCGCTACCGCGACCGGACTCCAGCGCGGTGAAACCGGAGAGCACCGAGGCGGATATCATACCCGAGGAGGAGGATGACGAGGAGGACAGCGCAACCCCCACGGCAATCACTGTCAATGGCTCCGCTGCGGCGACGGAGGACCAGAGCAGTAACAGCCCCGTTACCGACGGTGCGTTCCCCTCCCCCGGCCACGACAGCGCAGGCTCCCCGCTCTCCACGCACTCACCGTCGGCCACCTCCGGTGCCCTGACTCCGAGCGGCTTGGCTGCAGCGCAGACCCCGAGGAAAGCATCATCCCGTCGCAACGCCTGGGGGAACCTCTCCTACGCCGACCTGATCACCAAAGCCATCGAGAGCTCACCAGAGAAGAGACTGACCCTGTCCCAGATCTATGACTGGATGGTGAGATCTATCCCTTACTTTAAGGACAAAGGCGACAGCAACAGCTCTGCAGGATGGAAGGTAAGAGCCATTCCTGCGCCCACCCGGTACCCCTCCTTCCTCCATCAAAACAAAAACAAAAAGCATGTGGTTTGTTGTGAACCCACTGATGTGCTGACGCACAAGCAGGCAGTCATACGCATCCAATTATGCCATCCCAGTTCAGGTTTTACGAGCGTGTATTTGAAACGCATTTGCAATTAGGGCTGTAGGATAATATCGATATCGCGATATATATCGATATTTTCTTTCCTAGAAAAAAATCGATATTCATCCGCAAGTATCGTAACATCCAACTGTCATCTTGCTCACTCACTGCTCGCTTCGCCGGGAGAGTGATTAGATCATCAGGCTTAGAGTGATTCCTTCAGATGTTAAGTGTCAAGGTTAAAAAGGTATCAAACTATTCAGAGCAGGGTGCTTGGTGCACTTTATTTACTTTATAAAACCATATAAGCTACAGTTTGTACTGTTTCAATTAAAAGAAACATGTTTTCTCACCACTTCTTTGATTCTTTTTGTCCAGCTGTCGACTTTAAGTCTGTGTCCATGTCCAACCAGAGCCAGGTTGGTGTTTTAATCAGTTTTCAGTTAAATTAATTCAATCCAACTCTATAACAGTCACAAAATGTCACCAAAATCACTCTGTCCCTCTAAAATCTTTCAGAAAATCGCAAAAGTGTATTGTATTGAATTGTATCGTTTGATGAATATCGCAATATATATCATATCGTGGACAGAATATCGTGTATCGTATCATATCGTAAGTTTACTGTATCACTACAGCCCTATTTGCAATTATCAATTACCTCAACTAATATCCCTATCAAATCCTCCATATTCTGATATTTGCCCTTTAGGTGCATCCATATGAATTACAGTGGCACAGAGAACGTCAATTACTTAGTAATTCATTCGAAATGTCAGGCATTTGTTAACTCTGATGATTATAGTTTATAGAGAATTATATATTTTTTAAAAATAGAAAAGCAGATTGCATAAGATGAGTAAAAATTGATGCCATGGTCATAAAATCTGCTATTGGCACTTTATCAGTGTGGACAGGCTTCAAGACCTGCTGGAAAATGAAATTAGCTTCACCTTACAGGTTGAAGCGCCCTATCATTTTCTGAAAAACAGATGCACATAATTTGGTTAACATTTCAGTCAAGACTGGTTACAGCGATGCCCCCTTAGCAGTTTTTCCTTCCACTCAACCTTCCACTTATATGTATAGATGCAGGACTCTGTGTCCCGCCAACTTCTTAAGCAATGACCTATTGTGCCTAAACCTCAATGTGGCAAGTATTAGTGACTGTCTGCTGGGCATCTGTCAAGTCAGCAGTTTGACACATGATTGTATAGACCATAACATGATCATAATATTACGTTTCTTTACTCATGTTCCTTTTCATTGGCCAAACATGATATTTATGTTTTCTGAGCAGCAGCATTTTTGGTTTTCATAAGCTGAAATAACCAGATAAACACTAGAAGTATTCACTCAGTGTGAAGTAATATTTAAATATTCTGTGGATTTTAGTATTTATAGTGAATTACTAAAATAAAATCCTTTTTTTGTTCATATTACTTCTTTTTTTTAGACGAACCCATACCAACTGTACAAACATATCTTCATTTTATATGTGGCTTGTGTGACAATTCTAGTTTTCTTCACTCTAAAAACTGCCAAATATGATTATGGTTTGCACTGACTCTGATAATACCTCATTATCAAACAAAAAAAAAAGTCACAAATCAAGAAGGAAAATTGAGGCAGAACTACATAAATATTTAAGTTAGAATCACTAATGAGCCCTAAATGCAAAATACTTATTTCATAATGCAGATAACTTGCCCCAAAATCAAGAGACATTTAAAATAAAAATGTGCAAAATGTCTCTTTTAATCTTTCAGACGCCTTCTGTGATTTCATAACAGACTTTTACAACGTCTGATTTTACTTTAAGTGCTACAACTGGAGCGAACAAATGTCATAACCGGTTTGTCTGGAAACACGGTGGCCTATTTTGAGTGTTGCAATCTGGTTTTAAGATGCTCGCAGAATGATACAGTTACATAAGTTTGCTCCTGAGCAGCAGCTATTCTATTAATGGTCCAAGAAAGCCGACTGTAAACAAAATGATTTAGCGGGAAAAGCTGCGTGGAAAAAATGTGAACTCTGAAAGCCCCTTTTCTTTATATGTGGTTCAGCATGGGGATTATTTAACTATTTTTGTTGGAGACACCATCTGGCTCTGTTGTTTATGTTATAAAAATTAACTTTCCACCACGTATCAGTAAGGACACCAGCTTTGGTCGGTTTCCCGTTTGTTATGTAAACCTTGGCAGGGACCTATCAGTGTCTTAGACCAGGTAGGTGACAGCCAAGCTTGCTGATACCAGCATGAGGGAATTACATAACCACAGGTTGACCCTGGGGGTTAGGTTAAAGGACGTGATCTGGTCAGCAACAACGTTTGGACCTGCAAATAAAATTGAGGTACAGGCACAAAAGACCGGAGAGCTGAGATTAACACCCATCAGAAGTCGAAAGTGTTGCCCCATGGTGTTATGGGGGCTCTTCAGCCATATTTTTCAGGGCTTCTCAGGTTTTGGTTATGTGATATGTTCCAGTAAGAAGCAAAGGAGGTTATGGGTGTAGCCCCCACCTCCATCTCAAGGTCGGGTTCACTGTCAACATTCAGGCTTGTTACTCCAGGAATTTGGGGCATGAAGGCCAAGCTGTCAGTGGTATAGTGTTACTCGTGGCCTGTCTGTAAATCATAGCTGGAGATCGCAGCTTGAGAACGCTTCTTGGACTCTTTTCAGGATAGGCTCTCTCCAACCTAGAGCAAAAAATGAAATATGAAAAGTAAAGACAGACTTCAAAGCTTTAATTTCATTTTTGGTGACCCCGGAGTCTCACCTTTGCGGAGACCCAGGGTCTGAACGCCTACAGTTTCACACAGTCAGGGCACCTTTGTTGAAGAGATTTGCTGAACAAATCCTGGTAATCCCCCTGGGTTCTCTGCTGCAGGATCACAGCCACGTCATCCTCCTTCATATCAGTCAGCTAGTCATCAGCCCAGAAGGAAGTAGGTTAAGACTGCCAGCCATAAGACTTTTATCACCTAACATGGATATGTTTCAAATAGATTTGGTCACTCCCGTATTGTCACACAACAGGGAACAAAGTGTGCAGAGCAACACGAGCACCGCATTTGTTTTAATGTCATAATGAGCTTTTCCAGTTTTCATTCTTGCTGTTGTTCTTGTTTGGGGGATTTGTCTTTCAACAGGTGAGAAGTCTGGTGGTAGGTGGTTCATGTGTCTTATCTGCAAGCAAAACGGTTAAAATTGATTGGACTATATGTCTGATCTGAAAACAGGGTTCCAAAATGATACGGAAAAATCTGGAATTTCACTTAAATTCAAAGAAGAAGAAAAACAAACTTAGATATAGAAAATATTTGTATTTTCAGACTTTATTCCTTGTGATTTAAAAAGTTCCGTCCGTCCGTCCATCATCCACCCATCAAATGTGGAACTATCCTTTTGTATTTATTCTCACAAAATAGGCAAATTAATGGAACAATGTCAAAAAGTCACTGAAGAAAGTCCCTGTAGAGCCATGAGTTTTGATCCGCTAAACTGTTTTATTGGAGAAGCTGAAGAATCCTTTACAGGCTGCACAATAAACTAACACATAAAGCACTGACTGCTTTAATAGAAAGAGATTAGGTGCACCTGTCTGGATGCGTGTGCAGCGGTTGGTGTATTCGTTCATGTGGGAGCGTAGGATTCCTCTTGACTGCAGCAGACCTCGTGCTTTAGTGTTACTTAATCCTGCTCTAACAGGCTCTCTGTGGCCAACCACTGCTGGCCAAGACCTGGTCATGTCATACTTAAGGTAAACAGTTTTCAACACAAGTGGTACAAACTGTACAGTTTTGTGTGCGAGTGTGGGGGTGTGTGTGTTTGTTTGTATGTGAGTTTAACCCTGGATTACAGTCAATATGTTCGTGCTCAGGCATGCTCATTCTGTTTATAGCTCTTCTGTCTGGTCATGTTCGGTCTTATCACCAAGTTCATGATTGTTAAAGTCTGGCAGGGTCTGAAAATAGTTGTGTTCCTAAGAGTTTTTTTCCATTAGATTGCAGATATCGCTACGAACCTTTAGACTGGAAAAGGTAGATTTTTTTCTTTTTTTTGCTGCAACTGTAAAAACACCCAGATTTAAAAAAACAAAAAACAACATACTCTTCACACTCTTGCCGCCTTCTGCCTGTTTATGAAGGAGTATGAAAATAAGATTCAGCAGAATATCAACATCAGATACCATGCTGCAATTTTCTTTTCTTTTTTGTTATACAGAAATTATAGCAAAAGGGAAAAATTTGTAAATTTTATTTAACTGAAATGATCCATTTGTAATCCACAGTGCCATGCATGGTTGGTAGAGAATGGGACTTAAATTTAAAGATCATAATGAGATGACCGTTTAGTGAGAAAATTCCTTTAATAAAAAAAAAAAAAAAAAAAAAAAAAAAAAAATCCCAAAAAGATTAGCTAGGGGACAGAGAAAAGGGAAAGTGGGGGTTGTCTATATGCATTTGCAGGTGTGCGTGCCGAATGCAATCAGAAACCCTTCCATATCTGGCCCAGAGCCAAGTTGGAGGAGCTCAACCAAAAAGGCAATAAAAACATGGAGAGAAAGGAGCCAAAGAGGGGAGGGTAGGTGGTGCATGAAGACTGTAAAAGGAGGAGACTGAAGGAGGGGGATGAGAAGTGAAGGGCAGGGTGGAGGGATTTGGGGTAAATTAACAAGCTCTGCTCCAAATTGGTGTCTTACAACCTCCCTCTGGCTGCGATTCCCAGCGCAGGAGTTTTTCAGGGGGCGATGATTTGTAGGAGCCCACCTGCTCCAGGCGGGTTCTGTTCCAGTTCTATTTTAAGCCAAAGGTTTGTTTTTCTTCTTGTGTAGGAGAGAAACTTTGTTCTAGTGAGATTTACAGGTG